CACGTCCTATGCTCTTACTTACCTTATGGAGGTACGCTTTTCAGAAGCAAGCTTCAAGACAATAGAAATGTCTGAAAAATTCAGAGGGATTTTACTTTTGGACTTCCCTATTTCTCCAAAAGATGGGAGGATAGAGATCTATTGTGCTCACAAGAAAAATAAGATTTTAAAAAGACTTATTCAGCTGAAATTTTTCATTTGTTTGAGGTTGATGTCATTGCCAATAGCAGTTTATCCTTAGAGCCAAACCAACAGTATGTGCTTCTCTCAGTCTCCAGGATCTTTATTTCCAGTACTGCAATACACAAGATCCACAGGTAGAATAGCAAATTACAGCTTGCCAGTATGAAGTGTTATTTTCTTGCCTTCAGACAGCAGTCAGAATTTTTCACAAACTGCCTTAGAAAGATAAAAATCTGTAAAATCATATCTATAAGTAGCAGATTCTGCATTTGTCTTCTTGATAAGGACTGAAAATAAAAAGGCAATACTGACTGTGGCAGAAAATAGAGACTCTACCCATGCTGCTGAAAGACTCCAAACCAATGAGGATTTATTTAGAAAACAGATTTCAAGTTGTTCTGGACTCATACACCCTCCTATAGCTTCACCTCGGGACATCAGATGGCTTCATTTCCTGGCATGGAGATTAGCTGGCTGACTCTCTCTGCAAGAACATTTGATCTGAAGTCCCAAACATCCTGATTCAGAGCAGAAAATACTCCACAGAACACATGTATTCTGCAAAAAGGGGAGATTAGCAATATGGTCCCCTCTGTGTCAACTGCCATCGTGCTGATCACAGCGTCCTGATATGCTGGAGTGGCTTCTGGAGTAAAAGAAGTCAGGAACATGGATGGGCTTGCTAAGGGTCTGTTCTGGCACCTTGAGCAGTGAGATTTAGAGAGATGCTTTACTGCGGGCTTCTGAGACCTGTTTGAAGAATACCTCCTATGCATCCAAATCCTATTTAAGGGCTTAGTTGGGGCTTCCTTATGAGCACCTGGCAACATAATTTAAACTGAAAATTTAAACTTTTAAAATTTTACTTCAAAATATGTAATAAATGAAAAATGTATCTATTTACTGCTTCTTTGCTAGCCATCTTTCAGTAAGGTGAGGAATTTATGAGGTTATTTACAATGCTGCCACAGACCCGCTTCCAAGAAGACAGGTTTCCAGTAAGACCTTATCCAATATTCTATTCCAGTTTCCAGGTTCTATTTAGGTCACGTTTTCCAGAGTTTGCTTCTTGGAATTCTGGGGATTTGCCTGCAGTTATGGATGGTATTTAATCTTTCTGTAGTAGAAAGAAATGGGGTGGGGTAAAGGACATGCTTGGCAGCAGGAACTTCTTTCCAAACCGTGGCATGCTGTAAGGAGAAGTGCCTGGCCCTGAACACGCCTTGGGATGCATTCCCCTCGGGGTGATGTTACGTCACTTTATTTGATTCTGGTACTTCTGTAGCAGCATCTTTATTTTGTCTTGCTTTGCAACACTGGGCAGCCTTAATGGCAGAAGGCGGCAATAGTTTATTCAGCAAGAATTCCGTCAAGAGTTCTAGTTATGAGATTGGAAACAAAAGGATGTAGGTAGGGCAGGTGTGAAACACAATTCCAGTTGAAGTGTAATTACTGGGTATCTTGGCAGTTGTTTATTCTGATCTACTAGCAAGACTCAAGGTATCTTTGCCATCAGGACCGGGGCTGGTGCGTCCCAGCAGCACACTGATATCTGAGGGCTGCCCTCAGGTTTGGGAAAGGCTGACCTGGGAACGGGTCACTCCTGCCACTGCTGGGCTGTGTCTTGGCTTAGGCTCTCCTCTTATGGGCAGTAATCTCCCTGCTGCTATACCAGCTACATGGCTTGCACTGACTAACTCCCACACTGCACAGGCAGCTCATTTTTCTGTTTCTTTCCCTCATTTACTTTGCATCATACTTCTTGATCCTTATTTGCTGCTAACACAGTCTGAAAATCTTCCACTTGCCACCTGGGCTGCTTCTCAAGCCCTGTTCTGCACAACTCAGGCAACTACCCATGCCAGCCTTGTTTTAGCCTGAAAACCAGAAGAGCAAGCTCTCCTGTGGTCAGCTATTAACCTAATCAGCCTATGGGATGATTCAGTTCCTAATCTAAACTGTTTACTTTATACACTTAAACATGAGTTGCAGCTTCTAGCAGCTGATATTAGATACTATAGAAGATATCAGTTATACACATACTCTGTAAAGTTCACAAAATCATACTGTAAACTGGCATATTACCAGCTCTCTGTGAAGCCCATATGCACCGCATGAGCAAAGTAGCTGATAAAGCTGGTGACAAGGTATTTTGTCCAACTTCCTGACAGCTTTAGAGGTTCTGCCATCCAGCTTTCCCAAACCATAAACCAGCAATACAAAATGCTGGCCCTTAGATGTTGTCTGTGTGTCTTCACCACACAGCACAAAGCCCTTTTGGGTCTTCCTCTGGCTGGAGACCCTGGGCGAGGACCCACACCATGCCTACTCAGAAGCTTTGAGAAGGCTCCTAGTAGCTTCTCCCCACAATCAGGCTTTCTCCCTCCCTCTCTCTTCCAGCCATTTGTTTCCACCTTGCAAATATGCTGACACATTCTGGCACAACTATTCGTGCAGCTACATGGTGACCTGGATCAGGGAACTGATATCATAGCAGGAATGACTTGTAGCTGCCGTAGAAAGAACATCAGGTAAACTGGTGCTTGTGAGCTGACAATGACAAGGATGTAGGATGACATTTGGCCAGCCTGGGCAGGGAAGCCAACTCTGGCACATGTACCTAGGGTTTGCACTGTCCATTGTTCACTAGAACTTGGCTCCCATGGCAGTGGTGGGGACTATGATAGCTAGTTGTAATGGTCTGAAGATGTCTCAGTATCTGTGTATACAGACACATAAAGAAAAAGGTCTCTTGTACTCCTTTTCTTCCATTGCAGACTGTGAAACATGAAACAAATTAACAACCAATACGACCCTACTCTCTCACATTTCTGAGTAGCTCATAGGTACTGATAGACAATCACTAGATTTACAAGACCTAAAAGAGAAGAATGGTCCAGATCCTTCCTCCAGTGATGGAAATCAGGATTCACTCCAGACACTGATTTACCTCTGTTTGAAACTGATGTTGGAAGTGAGATAGACCCATCATCTGGAATGCTAGCAGAGAGGATCCTCACTTCCAATTATGCTGATGCATTTGTGTGACTTGCTTTTCAAGGGTTCAGAGATAGCTGGCTGCAAACATCCTTCCCCTTTAGCCTTTGAACACACTATTAATGGAGTGATTTTCATCTGATGTATCTAACAGGCAGGTATTTCCTTCCTGCCCTTCCCCTTGCTCTTTTGGAATGACTACATAGCTTCTTTTTGGCATATGTACTTTATAGACTGTGTTCAAAGAACTATATAAGAGCAACAGCATGACAGGCAACCCATAAAACATAAAAGGGCTGCTCATATCACCCTGTGTGTCAAGCTAATGTTACCCTCCAGCCATATGCAACCATTATATGTTGCAATCATTAAAAACTGCTATAAAATGCTCTGTAAAGAATAGCCCTGCCTTAGCAAGGGATGGCTTAGATAATCTAAAGGTCCTTCTCTCCATTGCCTGCTACAGTATTATGGGTATATTTATCCTCAGAAATTGAGTCACTGCCTTCTTAAAGTAGCAGGCAAAGCTCTCTAGCTTTTTCTGTCACACCAAAACTAAATGGATTTCAATGTCGTTTCTTCAAAATTGTTAGAAAAATGAAACCATCTGCAGGTGTTAGAAAGCGAGCTTGTTTCAGAAGCTACATCCCTAAATGCAACCTTGGAAAATAGTAATGAAAAAACCTCTACTTTGTATGGCAAGAGGAAATGTATGTGATCACTTAACTAGTAGGTAAAATTTATTGTGGCAGCTATTACAAAACCAGATGTTGGAACACACAGTTTTCATATGGGTATAAAATATTTGAATTTTGTTACGATGTACTGATAATATATATTGCCTCAATCACTCAGGCCTTTCCAAATGAACCCAGTATCATAGACAATAAGGCTTGTAGGGACCCGTGAAAAATCTAGTTGTTACCTCCGTCCTAAGACTGCATATACTGTACCTATGCCTCAGAGGTTTGCATAACTGAGTTTTAAAAGGTTTCCAATGGTAGAGGTCAGTACTACCTTAGAGTTCAGCTACCCTTAGAGTTAGAAGAAGGTTTTTTTAATGTTTAGCTTCTTTCTTAAGCCCATTATTCCTTGTCTGTCTTACACGAACAATGGAAGCAGATCATCCTATCCCTTTTTGTAGCTTTCTGTATAACACTTCAAGACTGCTATCTCACTGCTCAGGTTTTTTTTTCTAGATGAAACATCCCCAACTTTAAGACCTCTAAACCAAACTCTTCCCTATTGGTCTATACTTTTTTTGAAACTTATTTCTTAAAACTGGACACAGGCCTCCAGCTGAGGTTTTATTAATGCTGAGTGGAAGATTACTTCAAATGTCCTACAGACAAGAATTCTCTTTATCCATATTCGCCCTTTTCATAACAGTGCAATCTCGTTGACTCCTATTCAACTTGTGATCTGCAACAAGCCCCAGATACTTCTCTGCAGAACTCTTCCCTACCCAGTTACTCCTTATTCTTTCTTTGTGCAGCTAATCACTCTTGCCTAACTGTAAAATCTTCTACTTATTGGAATGCATCTTATTTCTAGGTCATTTCTTCAGTTTGCCAAGATCATTTTCAGTTCTTCTTCCTTTCAACCTTCCAGGTTTGCATTTGTAATATTAACGCATACAGATTTTTTCACCTAACAAACAAAAATTATGAAAAGTGCCTTAAGACAGACACTCTGAAGACCTAATAAATACTTTCTGCATAGTTTTCTGACCAGTTGTGTCCCCACTCTTTGGTAAATTTCTTTCTTTATATTTACTTAGTTTGCCCATTTAGAGAGTGTCAAAAGTTTCACTAAAGTCATGGCAGCTATTATATATCTCATTGTTTTATTCTAGATGCTTATAAAAAGTTACAAGATTTTTCTGGGAATTGAAGTTCAGCTGACCCCATTACCCCTTCTAGCCTCCTATTTAGATAGTCATGTCTCTGCCTTGGTGGTGCCCAGGGCAAAAATGCATGTAGCTATTTAGTGTCAGGGAATGCCTCTTGTTGCACAGTGTAAATTATGTCCTCCTCTCATGCTGTCATGTCATATAAACATTTCCATCCTCCTGTGATCAGATTACACTGCACAGTTAGTAAAGAATTGGGAAGAGGATATGGTTTTGCACCTTTGGTTCCTCTCTTGGCCACAGTTTTGCAGGCACTAGACTTCTGGTGTAAATCAATTGAAGCGAAACTTCTATCAGACTCTGCTAAGTACATTTGCTTTCGGAGAACTAGAGATAATAGGGATCAGTGCACCATGACCCACACCTGAACTTGAAGTGGACAGTGGTTGAGTAACTTATCAATGTTTCTTTGATCATTTTCTGCTTATTCTCTTCAAACAAAATCACACAGGCATCAGCAATATCTCCATTCAGCAGGATTATTTCATTGCCACAAAACTGTGACTCTTCTTACATCTAGTTGGAAGTCAAGTTTCTCTCCTGTTTTCATTCTCCTGTTACAGGTTTCAGTCTCTGATATCCCTATATAAAGAACAGACATTAAATGAATAATGTCCTTTTGTCTAAGCATCTTGCAGGAAACAACAGATTAGGAGGTAATTAATTCTTGTGATATGCCATGGGTGAAGCCCTGATCCAAATAAAGCTTACAGGAGTTTCACCAGTGGCATGTCAAGGGTCAGAATTTCACCCTGAGCAGATTTTTTTTTTTTTTAATACTGATGACAAAATAAAAATATCGGATTGAATCATTATTCACCAGTTGTCTTAGTGCAAAGACAGCTGTGCACTCCACCCCTCAAAGATTGTCTACAAACTTCCTCCTTCTCAGAGTGGTGCTTGGCAAGTGTCCAGATATCAACATTTTCCCTTTGAAAATTATTGATTATATGGCTCTAACAATTGATAAATCCTCCATTGTTTGAGCCAAACTTTGTCTTTGTTTAGGGGCCAAAAGAAAGATTAGGAAATGTTCTTGTCTTGATTAAAGAAAAATGATAATGTTTAAGCAGGGGGAAACACATAACAGTCAAAAGAATATGTAAGGCATCTGGCTTTCATATTCTACAGTTTAATAAAGCAGATGACTATTTTCTAATGAAAAAAAAAAAACCAAACCACAACAAAACAAAAGATAAATAAGAAAGTGTCTTTACCTACAGCAAAGTATAAGATAAATTAACTAAGTATAATAACCTGACACAGCACATTTATAAGAACAAGTCATTTTCCTGCACCACAACAGCACTATAACAACTCTCTCACTTTGTTTTTAATTTTCTAAGATGACGACAAGATTATCTGCTGGGGGTTTTTTTGACCACAGTAGAGGTAGGGGGTTCTCAGGACTCTATGAAGTTAATTTTACAGCTTCTGTTTTCCTTTGGGTTTTTTTACCCTTCTCGTCTCATTCAGCAAATTGTGGATGGGAGCACAAGGACCGCTGCATCAGGAAGTGTCAGCTCTGAGACTGGATGTTTCCAAGCACCATATGCACCATCCCAGCTACGGAGTACATTAACAAGTAACCAAGTGCACTGCACTGTCCTAGTTTTAGGGGTCTGCTCTGAAGTTTTGAGAATATAATCCCTTTTCTGATTTTGAATTGTTTTGTTAATGTCTGCAAAGCAGAAATGCAGATTTTTGCACAGGGACTATTATATTTTGTGTACAATAGCTAAACAAGTGCACAATGAGACTAACTTTAATGGCATCTTTCTTCTGGTGCTGCCATCATTCACCATGGTAGTGTTGTAGACGAATAATGATGATGCAGATGATGATATAGCTACTCAGAAGTTATGCTGAAGTGGCAAACAGAAATTCATTTTCTAAAACCTGATGTGAAAAGGATAGGATTGTTTTTCCTCCATCATTTGCTCTTTCTTTGCCATCTATCTGGATAGCTTCCATTTCTTTCCAGTCTTTTCTTGATGTATTTCTTGCACTTATACTTATTTGGTCCTATATTAAAAAAGAATATATTTAAAGTAGAGGTGATGTAAGTGCCAGTGCTTAATTTCTGTTAACAAGCTGCCATATGAAATGGTAGAAAACTTCGGAGACAGCACAACAGAGATGACTCCTGGAAAAGTCTGGAGCATCTACTTTAGTGTGTCACTTGAGATTCAGTGTCAAACAAAAAATATGAGGTTCTAAAATGTGACAGTATTCATTACTGAAACTTGTGAGTGTCTTTTCCATCAAATTTTGATTCCTCTGTTTTGATGTTATGTACAGAAAAGATAAATTGTCAAGATATTTTGGACAACCATATTTGTGGTTAGATATTCATACGATAGGTTATAATTTACCCACATATTAGTAGTGTTGGCCCTAAACATCTAATCTATAATAAAGGTGTATTTAAGGAACTTCCACAAGCAGAAACTAGATCTATCTATAACCTAGAAAACATGTACTTTTAATGGCGCAGTCATCAGTGTCTCCTTGACACACCCATCTGACATACTTTACCTAACAGCAGCTCTCACTCATATGAGTTTCAAGGATTGATGAGCCTCTAGCCATGGCAGAGGAAGAATTTAGTTCTGGAGATTCTGTACTAATCAAGATCAGATATAAGAGATTGAGGTAGACCAGCTGAGCTTAGGATGGGTTAACAGTGCCACCACAGAGAGCACAAATTGTAAACAGGCTTTCTCTCCAGCTACTGTTTGTGAGGGACCTCAAGAAAGGACAAAGATGACTGTATGTACTAGTTTCTTCACTCATGGCAGTCAGTGGAAATCCTGAAGTCGTCTAGTCACACCTGGGAAAAGTAATGGGGAAGAAGATCTGATGTTGAAGCAATAAGCCCTTTCCTAGGAAATGACAGAGTATAACTTGCTTAAGGAACAAGCAGAAACTGCAGGCAAGGGTGAGGGTCCATAGACTAGTGATGACAAAAGAGTTGTTCCACTCCTTTTCGAAGATGCCTGCACTCAAGGTCCAGCCTGCAAACCTCACTGTTCCATTTCCTTAGTCATGCAGTGATGTAATGGCTCAGATAAAAATGGAAGGATGGGGTGGCAGGGTGTTTTGGGGGAAAAAAAACCCTGGCCACACAGAAGGGAAGGTAGAAGCTGGAAAATGCAGCAAAGTTAAGACCTTGAGCAGTTCCACGCATCTTGTACCCTGTCTCGCCTGGAAAATCTTGGCCGTCACCTCACATTCCAATAATTCCTGCACTCCTGTAGCCACCTTCCCCTTCAGCCAGGGAGAGATTTCAACTGACCTTAAATCCCATACAGACTATTAATAGAGAAGATATCAATCATCACAATGAGTTGATAACGGTAGCTGGTATAACCACTGGCCTCAAAGAAAGAAGGATACATGACAGTCCTGGAGACAACCACCCAAGCCAAAGCTCCAGGCAGAAAACTCTTAACATAAAAACTGCTACAAAGTGTATTCAGAGGGGATTTAGGGACACTGCAGGATTAGTGTTCCTCTTTCCTGAAGAAAAAGGTGGATTTAGGGAGTCAGGAACCTTGGAAATGGTGGCTTCTACTATATCATGGTGGCTCTATGTGTGGGAAGAAGTCACCATGCTCTTTGTCTGGTGATAATTTCCTAATTAAGACTCATATTGCTTGGTCTAGCCAAGCTGTATTGAGTACAGGGAGAAGGAGAGAAATTGATTTGGAGAGGGAGAAAAATTGATTTGAAGCAATCTTTCTTGTTCTCTGTTTTCTTTGTTCATTAAAAGGATACTGTGAATGCAACAGTCACTGCCAAAGAAGTGATCCATGAGCTCCTGAAGAGCATAACAAATGCTATCTGTCATGGTGGGACATAGACTTTACACAGCATGAAAGGTCCTTAGCCTTTGCTACTGTGTGCAGTTTTACAAATGATGCAAAGATAAAAATAACTGATATAAACAAAAAATCAAAGAAAGTGTTACTAGGATACCAATCATTCAGAGGAGAACAAATCAGAACTCGATGGGTCTGTAGGTAATGATAATTACAGTGCTGCATAAACATGTGAAGTAAGCTACCAGTGATTCTTCCATTTGTCAGCAGAAGACAGGCTGGAATGCCTGGCTCCAAAAGAAAATATGTTTTAATTTAGATTGGTTTATTGTAGACTTTTCACTGCTATACGTGTCCAAAATACAATCCTTCTCCAGGGAAGGAGGACTCCACAGCTTTTATTAATGAGTTTGCTCAAGTGGCTTCATAGCTAGGATTTTGTCCAATCAGATAAGAATCTGCTTTGCTGCCAATGAAACTCATTTCTTCTTGTTCTACCAACTCCCAGCGGACCACCACCTTCTCTGCGACAAACAGCAGCCTGCTGGTTTGCCCCTTGTCATTGCCCTCTAAAAGGCAGCTCCATTTCTGCCAGCTTTCTTTATATATATTCTTATCACTTTTCTTGATTCCTTCTGGATTCTCTCTAATTTGCCTATCTTTTTAAGTATGACTAGAGCTAGAAACAGGACTTCTGCTGAAAATTTCTAACCCTCACTTCTTACACATGGTCTAGCTCTGAATACATTTCCAAAGTCAGACTTGTATATTTTTTTTTGTAATAGCATCATGTTATTAATTAATTGAATTTGAAATTTACCATAACTTGGATTTTCTTTTTTTTTTTTTTCTGCAGTACTCCTGATAATATTGCATTTATTTCCTATTGTGTAAATGTTTATTTGATTTCCCCTTCCCAAGTGCAATGCTTTAGATAAGTTTTTACTGAACTCCATTTCATTTGTTTCAGAGTGAAGACTATTTTGAATTCAGATCCTGGTTTCTGAAGCACCTGGCAGCCCCCCCGTCCCCCCCAATTCTTCACTGTCACCTGTAAATTTTGTAGGTGTGTACTTCTTTGTTCCACCCCCATATCATCCATATCAAGCAGGAACTGGATATACAAGATCTTCCAATGAGATCCCGCTTGGAACAGCCACTCTGTGTGTCACATTTTTTGTGTGCGCTCTTTTAGATAGCAATTTTTCTTGCACTTAACCAGGTAACATTTTCGGTTAGTCTCCAGCTTGTCCATAAGAACATCTCAAAGGGTCATGACAGAACCCTTGCTAAAATAAAGATACGGCCTACCGAATGCTATGAATGTGAGTTATCTGGGGAAAGAAGGAAATCAATCTGACTTAATGTGATTTGGTTTTACTTTTTAACACCTTCTTATCCTCAAAGTGCTTGTAAGCGTATTGCACACTCAGTTGTTGGAGTCTCTTTCTGCATGTCAAAGGCAGGTTGACTGTCCTATAATTCATTTTCCCCCTTTAACACACAGGTATTATATTTATTTTTTATATTATATTTATTCCCTTCCTGTCCCTCAGGTCCACCCTGTACCTACTTCCAGATAACTACTAATGGCTCAGACATTACAGTGTCTAATTCCTTCAGTACTTTTGGATGAATGTGGTCAGGCCTTGAATATCACAAACTTAGATAAGCATTTCTAACTGTTTCCTCTCTGCTCTGGCCTGCCCCCTCATTCTTCTGTTTAAACGGATTTTATTAGGTGTTGGTCACAACTGACTTCAGTGGAGACTGAAACAACAAAGGGATTTAATATTTTGGCCTCTTTTGTGCTGTATGTTGTTTGCTCTCTCTGTTATATAGCTGTATTTCTTTTGTCATGTTCTGGTAACATTTTCTGGTCACCTTTTATGCCTCTTGCTATTTGTAACTCCTTGTGTGCCCAAATGTTTTGCTTTATCCTTCCATATTATATAGTCAGTCATAGAGAGGTGTCCTGGTTTTCCAGGATTTCTATGAGGCTTTGATTTTCAGGTGCCTAAAGAACACCTTAGAGTACCACATCAATCTGCAACTGTGCATTCTCTTTCCTTTGTACCTGTCAGCTTAATGTAGAACCTTTAATATGTATTTTTTTCAGTATCTGTCAGTGGTCCCCTACTCTTTTATCCTTTCAATTACCTTCTCAAGAGGCCTCCATCACAGCTTATGAATTTTTAGAAGCCTGTCTTTTTTGTAATTCACCCTTAATAGTGAGGCTTTTCTTAAAATAGAGGTCTGTCATTTCATACTTGCTTTCACCCAGATTACCTTCCACCTTCTCAAGAAACCTCTCTATTAGCTGAATCAAATCAAGTTTCACTGTGTCCCCAAATATCATCCTCCTCACCCCCTCATCTTCCGAGAAAAAGCCTTCCCTCAGTATGTTCCAAGATCCTGACAACTGCTTGTGTCCTCCTCTACTGCTCTTCAGTAGATTTTATGTTATCTGAAGTGCTTGTAGGGGCAAGGCCAGCTCTTGAACATCTCTGTGAGTGGCTCAAGCAGAAAGACCCGCATGTATTTCTTCTTTTTCATGATTTAGTTTTCTCCAAAAGACCTCCAACTAGACATCCATCTCGTTCTTTCTTTATTTCCACCCTAAGGCAATCATGAAGCCAGATTCTTAGCTCTCCCTGAAGTGGAAAGCAAGTATGCATGTCTAAATGCCCTGTCCTGTCTATTCTACTAGAAAAAGCTGTATCTGTGTCCATACTCCAGGTCCCCGATGTGTTGTGTCAGGACTTCATGGCACCTATTATGTTATGGTTTTGTGCATAAGAAGACTGAGTTTTCCCGTTTATTCAACATATTACTGATATTTGCATATAGCTATTTTGAATATTCAGCTGTTTTCCCTGTTATTCTTCCTCTGGTCTTTCTTGTGCTTTTTTGCTAACAGTTTCCCTATGGTGACTGTTAACAAAGTACTAATTACTGCCAAGAAAAGGGTATAGTGGTGGCTTTGTGATGTAGATACTGGTCAGCCAGGAACTTGACTGAGACTCCAAAATTACTGTAATTCCCATCTATCTCTGGACAGACTCCAGATAGTAACAGCTTTCAGTCTCTGCCAACCTGGTTTGGAGCAGTTTGCCTGTGTGTGATTTTTCATGTCTGTCAGCCAAATCAGGGAGCCAGTGCAAAAATCTAGTACTTAGAGGGTGTTTGATACTCGTGGGAGCTGTCTGGGTCAGGAAACCAATGACTGGTTTCTAACAGATCGGGAAAGAAAAAAGAAAAGGATAGAATTAATATGTCTAGCATTTTAGTTACAAATACAATTGTAATTAAATTCAAATTACCAATGTAAATTAAAAAGATTTTATTTTGTGTAAGTGTTCCCTGACAGTCTTAATAAAGATTAAAGCTGATCTGGAATTGCTCATACAAAACGTGAGAAGGAGCTGCAGCCTCTCCTGACGTGTGACATGGTTCTCAATGAAGTGTCAGGTTGTTGGTTTTACAGAGGAGGCAATGTGAAGCCTAGGTGGGAAATCACAGCTGGAGAAGCTGTTACTGAGATGTCCTTCACTTCCCTCAGGTGTAAGTCCTCGATCAGAGAGTAACACAAAAAGCATTGAAAAATGATGAACCATTTCAAAGCATTAACAACAGATCCCTTAAAGATCTGCCCCTGGACACATTTATATACACACATAGCTTTCCCCTGTATACCCTAGACATACTTTATTATTTCATTCAGCATAATTAATAATTAATATGCTGTAATTAATAACATAATTCATAACAAGGAAGATTATAAAGCTCATCAGAAACGTTGTTAGTTGTTACAAATGGCAAATAGGTGACAAAACTGAAAGCCCTACTTGTAATTTGTGTGAGTTACTTTCTGACTGGATTTTATATGTGTACCAACATCTCTCTTCCTGATTATTGGGAATGTTTGTGCATTTTCAGATAAAGACAGATTTGTGCTTATCTACTACTTTACAGATGTTGCAAGGAGACGAGTAGGGAGCCCATCCTGGAACAGACAGCTAGAATGTTCTGAGCTACATGTTCAGAAGACAAATGAGTGAGAAGTCCTGGTGTTTTCATTTAATACAGCAGGTCAGTCATAACCATGCACAAGTACCGTTACGAACTATGACCAATAATAATCCAAATTTACCAAGTGTAAGAGAAAAGCCAGTATAATCACTCTGTTCAACAAAACTCTTCCACTAAACTCAACTTCTCAAATATCTCAAATCTATAAAAAACCCTTGCAAAAATCTTGGGATCTAGTGGGACATAGCAAACAGTAGTCATGAGCCCTTTACTAAGAACAACCTGTCCTAAGCCTGTAGCTAGGCATATCCAGAAACCATTAGCTTTTGAATTACAGCTTATCTCAACTACTGGGTAAAAGCACAGGGACTAGTTTTTTAGATACTTGTGGCAAGGCCAAAATCATAAGATACCTCATATCCAAGCCTTGAACAGCACCTGGATAGAAGTGGGAAACTAGCACTGTTTACAGAGCCATGTGTTCTTTGTACACACAAGTACTGAGTGCTAAAAATTGATAATTGAGACTTTAAATGGAACAGGGGGACTTCTTAAACATCTGAGAAGCTGTCCAAACCAGCTGATCTACCCCAGAGACTGGGCAAATCAGAGCAGGATGCAAGATACATGCCTTTAGTGAATGCACTTTTTTTTTTCCCCTCCAGCATTTTATTCAAGCTAATGTCTAATTAGAGCTGAGAACTTGGTGTGCTTTTTGCTGCTGCTATGACAGTTCCTAAAAGCAGTTCGTGGACGTCAATTGTGTGTGGTAGTTATGCACTAAGCTCCCCAGCTACTGAAGGAGAAGAGAGGGACAACAAGAGCTCTGTTTTATTATTGCACAGTACAGATAATGATACACTAACCATATCAAAAGGAGCTTTGTAATTATTGGCTCAGGAGCTCTTGTGGTTATTTTACATTTAACCCACATACCAATTTGGTGTCTGCTGGCACATGGTGGCCATATGGAGGGCAGAAAGCATTACTGCCTACCACAGGAGAATATAATCTGGAGAGCAGAGGCATTTTCATGTGTTGAACAAAGTTCCACCCACGTCATAAACTGGTCATTCTGCCACATCGTAAGTTGCAGAAAAAAAATCACATAAATCTTCACAGAGACTCTACAGGACTTCAGTCAGAGACTCTGTCTTTTGTGTAGTCCATGAATGCACTGTTGATGCTTTAGAATAACAAGTAATAGTCATATACCTTCTACCAATACATTTTGTCATGTAATACTACTATACACTGTTGGAGCAGTGTTGATAGGCACGCAAACTACTTCCCTGCTATGAAAAATATTAATGAGACAAATTATTGCCTGATGAAGATTGGCAAAGAAAACCATAGAAATTTATGCAAATGAGAATCCATAGGGGGTTTTTGCAATTGCATCTTTTCACCTGTTCACTTTTGGGGACTAAAGTTTTAAAATGTCTGAAGAAGTTACATATATATATATATGCGCAACTTTGTGTTGATTATTCTACATTATCATACACAAAAATATTTCTGTGGACAAAACAGACCTGTCTATCCACCTACATAAGTGTGCTTGTATTTATGTATATATGTATGTTCCTCTGCCTGTGTGTTTGTTGGGAAGGGATGCTGCAGAACTTGTATCCAGGTCCTACATGCTTACGAACATTTTGGGCGAGTTTTATGTTTGCTTTTCTGAGTGGGCACTGAAAAGTAGACCCAAAAAAATGGTTTGAAATGAAATTCTCAGCTGTCTCACTGGTCTTGTACTACATTATAGCATAAACGACAAGGGAACTTAAACACATGGAAAGGGGGGATTTTGTTTGCATTGCCTAAACAAATATATATATTTTTAATAGTATAAAAATAGGTGGAACAGGAAGATAGGCAGGACTAATGTAGAAGAAAAACATGTTTGTGCCCAGTTCACCGGAGAGATTGTTAAAGAACATTTTATCATAATGAAAATATTAGCCTTGGAATGCCAGCAAGATCAATGTCAATTTAAGTTGCCTGTCGTTTCTCCTTCTAGTCACTAAAGTTAGACTTGTCCTAGAGTTATTGTGACTAGCTTATTTTTTTTATTTCAGAAAATGTTCTCTTTCATTCACGAATCAATAGCTCTTTGCTAGTCCTGGCTTTGCTCCTTGCTCTTCTCCGTCAGCCCTTGCTAAGGGCTGTTGCTAAGGGCCAGAGGAAGCATCCTATTGCATTCGGCTGAGAAATCGTGGAGGAAAAGCACACCACATTTCTGTGAGGTGCCAGTGAAGCACTTTTCCCACTGCTGTCTTGCAATGAAGGAAATATGATTCCAGCTGGAACAAGCTGCTCATGATTAGGACCCCCATGTGTTTCAGAATTTTGACAGGTTACTCCTAAACTCATAAAATTAGCAGAGTGCCATGGTGGGATCTAGAAAGCAACATTTTTCTTACCATACGGGACTCCAGGCAATCAGTTTCAAAAGGAAACTTTTATAGTTTCCCTCCGTCTCTAAATGAAGTTGACAGAAATCTTCCTGTGGATTTCAATGAGAAAAAAAATCCTTCAGACAAACAGCTTGTAACTCCTTTATTTGAAAGCAGCTGAGTATGACATATATAAATTTGCTAAAATTTTTATAGACAACAAACTAATAAATCTATTGAGATTCTTCATTTAATGATAGCGAATTTGGCTGGAGGAAACAGAAGCCTTCAGATCCATGGAATATATATATATACCTTGTTTAGTTTCTGATGCATTTAATTTTAAATATACTGTTCAGTTATTCAGATTATTTATTAAAATACATTTCATGATGTGTTTTACAGCTAGCTTTCACAAAATCATATATTTAAAAAAAAAAAGACATACTCTATTTGTGGCTTACTATGCCTAGGAAGTCCTGTGCACTATTCTTTCAAGTGACTATATTAATAAAGTGATCACTGCATCAATCAGTGTTTTTACAAGAGTTAATTACCCTTCAGCACAGAAGAAATACAGGTCTTTTGGGGAGGTGCATGCAGGGGAACCTGTGCTATCCAGGTTTCTCATGCACACGAGCTTCTGATCTAACAGCCTGCTCTATCGAGGTCACACACACGTTGATAAGGAACCACAGCCAGGGTTATATGATCAACATAAACATGAATAAATAATCCAATCGCGTCAGGCAAGACCGTTTGGTCGCATCTGCGCTACCCCATCCAAAGACTGAACATTTTGTGTGTATGCCTACTGCCTGTAGGTTACAGTGCTAATGAGCCTATCTTGTCTCCTCTGAACAATCTGTGCTGGAGTTGGAATAAATTTCCTGTGGTTCATCAGGAGAACTGGCAAGCAAACAAGGCTGATAGATGTAGTTCAGACTTGTGAGGATTTCCTGGTAAGATTGTTTTTTCCCTGTTCAACCAATTATGAAAGTAATGGTAGATAATGAATACCCATTTCCCTTTGTTTGCTGTTGCAAAAGTTTGGCATTCACTGATGTTTCCTGGTGGTGTAGAAAGCCAGAGGAGTAATGGGTTGCCGTAATGGTTTGGCCTGAAGATTATTCCTGTGGGCCTAGCAGATGGTGATTTGAATGATGTGTCCTGCAAGGTGAAAGCCATAAATCAGACCCGAGCAGAGGTGGAAGTCTGAATGATCGTTAATGTTCTGAACGTAAGGTGCCAAACTTGGTTTCACCTCTTCAAGATTTGGACAGGACAAAGATCCTTTTTCTTCTTCAGAATAAGGAAATAGTGGAAACGGAAACTTTTGAACTGTGTTCTTCAGAAATTCCCAGGAGGTGCGATGAGTGCACTTCCTCTGTCAAGACTGGTATGAGAAGCCATAGTGTTCCAGAGGATGTACAGATAGCCTCTGAAGGCTGGTTATATGATTCTTATTTCAGTGGGATTCCAAGTCATCATACCCAGCCTGTCACCTCTGAGACAGAAACTGCTGTTTTAAATATTATCAAGGAGCTGGGAACCTCCTGGAGTAGCCAGGCTGCATCCAGGATGAACATCGAAGCTGCCAAGTGTTTGGCACAGCAACAGTCTCCGAGGGAGCTAGAACGGGAATGACCCAGAAAAGCCCACAGCCCTGGGATTCATCCAGAAGTGTAGCATCTCTCCCATCCCCCAGCTAACTAAAGCCTTTCCATTAGAGCAGGTCTTTCTTAACCAAATGCCTCTGATAATTTGTGATGTACTTGTTTAAGAAGACTGAGGAAAGGGCTTTCTGCTGGAGATTCAGTTTCTTTTCCCTAAATAACCATATCTTTCCCAAACTCATGCTTTGATGTAGATAGTAGAAATGAAAGAAATGTGGTAGAGATATTCTCTATCAAGCAAGTGTTTGCTGGATATTTCTAAGCCAAATATTATTTTCTAAAATACTTGTAAATAGTAGTTACTACCTAGGATTTTATTGTCTTGGATGGTTAGCAACTAAGTTTCAATTAATATTTGTGCTTGTGCCTTGAGGGATGAGCTATGTATGAGACCCTAAAAATGAAGAAGAAAAAAGAAGGGATTTACCAGGCAAATGGTTTGGAGGAAGATAAGAAAAACTGTCACACAACACAGCTGTTACACATGTTTTTTTCCACCACCCTCTATCTTCTTTGGTTATTCAGTATGTAAGAAGAGTTTTCCTTTCCCAAATGCTTACCAAACTTCCCTGCAAGACTAGTATCTGCAAATGGCACCACTTTTGAATCTTTACATAAAAAGGCCCAGAGAAAATGTATGTACAGGAAGGAGGAGGTGACTTTAATATTCTTTGCACTCTCAGCTAGTCTGCAGTTGCCAGTTGCATTACTGGCATTTATTCATTAAGTTTTGCCACGTGAATTTTTTTCCTCAGCCTTGAAGGTCACCAACTGTGATTTTCTAGACTTGAGAAAAAGTTTCAGTCAAATATGGAGGCCAGAGACAGACGGCCACTGGAGAAATGGCAGCGATGGTGTAAGACTTTACAGCTTTCACTACAGGAATGGTCTAAGCAAGTGCTTCTCTACATCACTGTGAAAGCAACTGTGTTAGTTTGAACTACCAATGCAAGGCAGATAGAAGAAGCAGGTGACTTCATAACTGCCCCAGCCATTTCTGCAAGTGTTTGACTACAACCTGAATAGTTCTTATTCTACTTATTTGCCTTCTTTTCACATTGTTGCAGCCAGAAGATTAAGAACCTTTTTAGGACAGGTTTGAATTCAGTGAGACTACTTACATAAGTAGCTGTTCACCACTTCGAGTATTATGATCCTTGGTTTCCATTTCTAGGACACATCATTCAAGAAAGTTGGGCCTGTTATGTCAACAACCTCTTGGTTTCTACATCTCAGACCTGGTCCTGCAGAGTCTGCCAATGAGCTTCAGCACAATCCCTATTAAAGTTGTTATTATAAACAGATAAAATCATGGCTTGTAGTGAATGGTTCAGAATTTGGTCATTTATTTATCTCTGGCTGATTTTCCTGTATCAGGGATTTCTACTGCCCTAAAAATGAAAGGTTAAATTCCTTCAAGCCTTTGTCCTAGATACCACCGTATCACTTTATTTGGACTCTATAAAGGATCATATGAAAACGCCATTCCAGTGATTCTCCCTTGCAGGATTTTTTTCTGAATGACTCCAAAGTAAAGCTTGGTGGGAATTTTCCCACAATATATTTGTTTGTATCCAAAAATGCTGACTTGCTGAAACGGAACCTTTTTGTGGGAAAGTATTTGTTCCAGTAAGAGGGCTTCTCAGATTCAGAAGTGAATTTCTGGAAAAAAAAAAAAAAAAAAAAAAGAAAGACAAACTTTCCCTTCTTTTCCTCAAAATAGATGGCTGCTCAGTGTTCAGGCGTTCCCTGGGGGATATGGGCAAGAGAGGTTTAACTCCCATTGATTCAGTATGTTAGCCTGTTTCTGGGCCAGCTATGCAAAGCCGAACAGCTACAGACAAAGTTAAAGGCAGTATTCTCACTGGGTTCTGTCTTTTATGCCCATTTCAGCATTGTTTCAGGAAGGTCCTAATTTCATTTTAATGCACAACAAAAGCAAATTTTGAAATTTCTATTGTTTTCCAAATGACTAATGTTTTGCAGATACTCTTACAGTAACCCAGCAGTGATCACCTTGCAGATCCATTTGTATCTTCTTAAAAATGCAGAGACAGAGTCACTCCATTTGGGATCTATAACATACGGAGTCCTTCTGAATCTTTGTGGGCTTTTACGGGTTGATTCTTGCAAATTTCTAAATTATGAGATGTTATGAGCGAACTTGCATTAGCTATTTAACTAATGGAGCTGCTCATACAGCTGATGCCTGCACATTACAAATCGATAAAGTTTTATTAAAGCAAACAGAAAGATTTCCACTGGACTTGAATGAAAGTTTGTTACATTATGTCCTTGTATCCTAAAGTTTTAATCTGACACTTGATCTTGCCTTATTCTGTGATGTTCAGATTCTACCAAAATTATATTTATATCAATCACCTCTCAAATTACAGAAGGAGGTATCGACTCTGTCACTTTTTAGAGAGACGGTGAAAAGTCAGGAAACCCAGATTCTTTTCTCTGACTTAAAACTGACTTGCTTAGACTATCTATCATTACTTATTAACTTTAGCAATTAATTCTGTGATTCTAAGATGCAAGGAAATATAAGCACGAGGAAATACAAACATTTTGGTAAAATACTGCATTACAGTGCTCATAACCTTAATTTACTCAATGGCAATATCACAATTAGGACATTATAACGCAGTTTTAATGTGCATTTATTATAGTAATGAAGCACAAAATTACACAGATACAACACAAATCATATTTAATCAAAGGCAATCTCAGATAATAACCAACTAAGAATTATATGCCACTGAGTTTATATGCATCATTTTTCTTTTATCAATAAGTAGTGCTACAAATTGTCATAAAATAAATTGTTTACATTTGTTTTAAAATGTTCTATAATACTGATTGATGCTTTTGACTGAGTCTTTACTTATTGTATGAATACCATAAAAGTTCTCCAAATAATGAGATAATTAATTTTCCATCCTGCATAATACCAGTTTCAAATTAGATTTAAATACTAATTCTTATAAAGTACTAATTGTTTCAAAATGGAAAAAACCCCAAACCAAAACACAGACAAAAAAAATTTACGATTTCCTAAAGCTGTCTGAGGAGGACCCTTGGAAAACAGAGTCTTCTGTTCATGAAAGTAAATTCCGTCATAGAATTCTCCCACCTTTTAAGTTAAAGCTAGCATTCTGTGAAATACCGTTCGTTCTTACTTCACAAAAAGTCACAGCTCTGTCCTCTGTATCATGTCATTCCTTGTCATGTGCAGTAACCACCTTCTTGAAGCTTCTGAGTTGGAAGCATGCTGCCAAAGCAGATGGATTCTTAAAATAAAATACAACGCTAATTATTATTCCTTAATCCTCAGCTACGAGTTTTACCTTATAATTTGAATTGGAATAATGCTTTTATTGCAGTTTATCATACTTACACTGAGAAAAACATTCGAGAATTAAATAGAATCCTATCATAGTGTTTTTAATATATTTGACATTCTGTGTTAAGACACTACCATTTTTTTAAACTATACTAGCTTAGAGACAGTAGGACATATTGCATGTCTTGAGGTACGCTTTTAAGAGAGATAAGATCATAGGTTCCCAGCAACTGGCAATACTAAGTATTATTACCATTCCTTTTGCATTTGATTTCTTAAAGAAATTTTTAAAAATGTTAAAATTAACAGTTTTCTATTAAAAAACCCCAACTCTCACTGCTTGAGAGAAACAAATACTTTTCAAAACAGTGAAATATATTGGAAATCAGTGGTCAGTGACTGAAGAAAATCAACTGACTTTTGAGAAACCCCAGTACAGTATGCATCTGTAGGTAGCAGTATTTTACATTTGGAAGCCTTCTACATGAGTCATGCCCTAAACCGGAGTTGTAACTGAAAGAAGACATTACTGCTGCAGTCCTGCACGCCTCCCCAGCCACAACTGCCAAATCAAAGTCTCCAACTCTTCATGCAAATGTTGGAAGAATAAATACCTTTGCCATTTTACTGAACATGAGGGGCCCCGTAGCATCTCTAAATGCATGTTATTCAGCGCAAAACATTGTAACATTCACAAACATAACACTCACTCCTCTGTTCATTGTATAGAGCTGTACTCACTGCTGCAGTGAGAGTTTCTGGTGGATGAGAAAC